GGAAGAGGAGGAGGAGGAGGAGGAGGAGGAGGAGGAGGAGGAGGAGAAGGAGTAGGAGGACGAGGCGGAGGAGGAGGAGGAGGAATACCATGAGGATGAGGATGAGGAGGTGGAGGAGGAGGAGGAGGAATATGAGGAGCGGGAGGCGGAGGAGGAGGAGGAGGAGGCGGAGGAGGAGGAGGGAGTGGATGATAAGGATAATGAGGATGATGATGATGATGATGATGATGATGATCATGATGATGATGATGATGCTGATGATGATGATGATGATGATGATGATGATGCTGATGATGATGATGATGATGCTGATGATGATGATGATGATGATGATGATGCTGATGATGATGATGATGATGATGATGATGATCATGAGGTGATGCTGCTGATGATGACGATGATTTTGCTGATGCCGGATGATGATGGTGATGATGATGACGATGATGATGACGATGCTGCTGCTGACGACGACCATGATGATGTTGCTCGTGCTGACGCTGATGAGGGTGGTGATGACGCTGTTGCTACTGATTATGATGACAAACGGGTTCATGATGATGATGATGATGATGATGATGATGATGATGATGATGATGATGATGATGATGCTGATGCTGTTGCTGACGATGATGATGATGATGACGCTGCTGCTACTGATGATGATGACATACAAGTTGATGATGCTGCTGATGATGATGATGATGATGATGATGATGATGATGATGATGATGATGATGCTGATGATGATGATGATGCTGAGTCAGACGACGATGCTGCTTCTAATTTTGATGCTGCTGATGATGATTGGGTGAGGATGATGATGCTGATGATGATGATGATGACGATGGTGAAGATGACGACGATGCTGATGATGAGGCTGATGGTGCTGCAGCTGCTGCTGCTGCTGCTGATGCTGATGCTGGTGCTGCTGCTGCTGCTGATGCTGATGCTGCTGCTGCTGCTGCTTCTGCTGCTGTTGCTGCTGCTGCTGCTGAGGAGTATGAGGATGGGGGAGGACGAGAAGGAGGAGTACTGGGGAAGGGTCAGAAGGAGTGGGAGGGGCTAGCTGCCCTCTTCTCGGGGTAGCGCGACCGGGCCCCGACGGGGTAGAGGGGGAGGTTAGGTGGTCAACATACTGAGCTTAGGTCGGAGCCCGAGCTTAGCGCGCCCGACTGCTAGATGCACCCAACTGTGTAAAAGCCCAAGTGCACCCGACGATATTTACCGTGTGAGCTGATATGCCTCGGCGGCGGATTGCAGCCATATTGCCACATTGGCAGAACGCGATGCAGTCTTGCGTAGAGCTCGTGTGTCGCCCACAGACTATGCAGAAGACGCAGGCGCTTATGATCGTTGCTGCGTGCCCAGGAAGGAGGAAAGGAGGAGGAGGAGGAGGAGGAGGAGGAGGAGGAGGAGGAGGAGGAGGAGGAGGAGGGGGAGGAGGAGGAGAAGATGGAGGGGGAGGGGGAGCAGGAGCAGGAGCAGGAGGAGGAGGAGGAGGAGGACGAGGAGGAAGAGGAGGAGGAGGACCAGTGCAAGCCCACGACCCATTAACGATATTGCAATCACCCTCCCTCCCCTTCCTCTTCATAGGCTCCTGTATGTATTAATTCGCACTGAGGGAAATGCCCCGTTGGAAGACAAACGCGTGAAAATCTGGAATTGTGCCAAGACGCCAATCCTAGGATTTCAAAGTCGCGAGTCACCGTTACTGTTGCGTCTTGAAGATCCTGAACCATTTCAGAAGATAAGTCCTGGGACTTCAACACCGCGAATCAACGTGACTGTACCCTCTAACATTCCGAGATCGTGCCCAAACACCGTTTCTTGGACATTCGCCATGATCATCCTTCAAGCTGTTGCAAAGCTCTTGAGACGAATGTGCGCGGCGCTAGGGCGAGAGCCACATTTTGAAAAGGAACCGCCCTCCATCCGTGAAGCTCGCCAACTGTTCAGACGAGCGTGCGCGGCGCGGAGGCGAGAGCCACATGTTGAAAAGGAACCGCCCTCCATCCGCGGAGCTCTTGCAAACTTTCAGTCGAACGTGCGCGGTGCGAAGGCGAGAGCCACACTTTGAACATGAACCGCCCTCCATTTGTGAAGCTCTAGCAAACTGTTCAGACGAATGCGCGCGGCGCTGGGGCGCGAGCCGCATTTTGGAAGTGGGCCGCCCTTACAAGCTCGAAGCTTCAGGATCACATATTGTAAGGAAGTGTCAGGCGAAACGCCCGGCCCGCCCTCTCGACTGGCCTCGGGGTGCGACAGCGAGAAGTTTTGTATGAGCAAAAAGGAAGGGAGGCTGAGAAGGGGGGGGCGAGGCTCAGAGGGGGTTCCCGCGGGAGCCTGCTCCGTGGCAGAGGGAAGTGTCAAGGAGGGGCGAGGCCGAGGATGGAGGAGGGATGGATGGAGATATGTGCCCCAGCTGGCGCGTCTATTCACCCCTCTAGGGATGGCTGTTGCCTGCTGCGTGCAATCGCCGTCTCTGGGGGCCTGCGCAGGGCGTTGGGGTGACGCGCTGGCCCCCATCTGCAAAGCGCTCGGACCGGCGTCGGTCAGGGAGGAGGGAGGGAGGGAGGGAGGGAGGGAGGGAGGGGAGGGAGGGATGGGGGAGGGGGAGGGGGAGGGGGATGGGGGGATGATGATGATGATGATGATGATGATGATGATGATGATGATGATGATGATGATGATGATGATGATGATGATGATGATGATGATGATGATGATGAGAGGAGGAGGAGGAGGAGAAGGAGGAAGAGGAGGATGGAGGAGGAGGAGGGAGGAGGAGAAGGAGAAGGAGGAGGACCAGTGTAAACCCAAGACCCATCAACGATGCTACAATAAGCCCTCCTTCCAATTTTCTTCTTCACAGGTCCCTACAAGGATTTATTTCACTGCGGGAAGTGCCGCGTTGGAAAACAATCGTCTCAAAATCTTGAACCATGCCAATTCACCGTTCCTGGGACTTCAACGCCACGGATGAACTTTGCTGTTGCTTCTTGGCGCCGCAAATCAACGTGACTGTCGCGCCCTGACAACCCTAAAACGTGCCCACAAATGGAAACGGCTGAAAACTGTTAAAACAAATGTGCACGGCGCGAAGGCGGGAGGCACATTTTGAAAAGGAACCGCCCTCGATCCGTGAAACGGCTGGGAACTTCTAAGACGAATGTGTACGGCGCTGAGGCGAGAACCACATTTTGAAGACGACCCGCCCTCCATCCCTGAACTTCTTGCGATCAGTTTAGACGAATGTGCGCGGCGCTAGGGCGAGGGCCACGTTTTGAAGACGACCCACTTTGCATCCGCGAAGCCGTTGCCGATTGTGAGCTGAGGATGATGAGGAGGCGGAGGAGGAGGAGGCAGGAGGGAGGGAGGCGGAGGGAGGCGGAGGAGGAGGGCGAGATGGAGGGAGGGATGGAGGGAGGTGGGATGAGGAGGGGATGGGAGGGATGGGAGGGCGAGATGTAGGGGATGGGAGGGATGGAGGGATGGGAGGGCGAGATGTAGGGGATGGAGGGAGGTGGGAAGAAACTCACTGGATGAGGAGGAGGGAGGCAGGGGAGGGAGGGCTGGAGGGCGGGAAGGGAGGGGCGCCCGCTGCGGTCCGAGGCGCCCAGGGCTCTGGCCGCGCCGCGGGCAGCGAGGCGCCGCGGTCGCCGGGGAGGCCGAACCCGCTGCTGTCGGGCTCGCCGACCAGGCCAGGGGGGCCCCGCTCGCAGGGAGGGAGGAGGGAGGAGGGAGGAGGGAGGAGGGAGGAGGGAGAAGGAGGAGGAGGAGAACCAGAGTAGCCCCAAGACCCATCAATGACCCGCCCGCAGGGACGGAGGAGGGAGGAGGGAGGAGGGAGGATGCAGAAGGAGGAGGAGGACCAGTGTGTGTAGCCCCAAGACCCATCCACGACGTTGCAATAAAGTTCCTTCCTGCAAGCTCCATCTTCAGACGCCCCCACAAGGGTTCAGTCTCACTGAAGGACGTACCCCGTTGGAGAACAAACGTCTGCAAATCCTGACCTCTGACAGAACACCATTCCTGGGATTTCAACTCCGCGAATCGCCGTTACGGTTGCGTCTTGATGACCTTGAACCGTGCTGGAACACGACGAACCAACGTGACTCTTGCGCCCTGACGGCCCGACACCGTGCCACAACTCAATTTCTGGTACGTTGGCCATCAGAGTCTTCGAAACTCTTGTAAGCTCTTAGGAACGACTGTGCACAGCGCTACGGCGAGAGCCAATCATTGAAAAAGGACCGCCCTCCATCCGTGAAACTTCTGCAACTTTTGATTACGAATGTGTGCGGCACTCAGGCGAGAGCCACATGTCGAAAAGAAACCGCCTCTATCCGTGAAACCCTTTTTTGTTAAGGAGAATGTGCGCGGCGCTAAGGAGTGGGCCACGTTTTGAAAGCGACCCGCCCTCCATCCGTGCACGTGTTGCGATTTACATGCGATTATACAGGCGACATGTCCGGCCCGCCCTTCTGACTGGCTGGCTTCGGGGTGCGGCAGGGAGGAGTTATTCACAAGGAATCGGAGTGGAGGAGGAGGAGGAAGAGGAGGAGGATGAGGAGGAGGATGAGGAGGAAGAGGAGGAGGAAGAGGAGGAGTTGGAGGAGGAGCAGGAGGAGGAGGAAGAGGAGGAGGAAGAGGAGGAGGAGGAGGGAATAGAGGGAGGAGGGGGGAGGACGGGGGAGGAGGAAGGAGGAGGAAGGAGGAGGGAGGATGAGGAGAGGGAGGAGGAGGGAAGAGGGAGGAGTGAGGTAGGGAGGAGGGAGGAGGGAGAAGAGTGAGAGCAGGGAGAGGAGGAAGACGAGGGAGTGGATGGCGAGGAGGGCAAGGAGGGAGAGGAGAGGGGAAGGGAGAGGAGGGAAGGAAGGAAAGGAAGGAGAGGAGGGGGAGCAGGGAGGAGGGAAGAGACAGGACGGAGGAGGGAGGAGGGCGGAGGGAGCAGGGAGGGAGGAGGGAGGAGGGAAGATGGAACATGGGGAGGAGGGAGG